GAAAAGATAGTGAATGGCAGAAAATTTTGAAATTTGTTAATGAAGTCCTCATTGTGAATATGTGTAAACGAGTTTATAGTTGTCAGATTAGTGAAAATGTTTGTGTAATTCAGAGTGCGAGAACTCTTACTCTGTCAGTTCATTTAGTTACACCTTTCATTAGCTGTATGACTTTGATGGTTCTTGTTATTTTTTTTCTTTTTTTTTTGATTATAGAAATCGAACGCAAAAATATTTTACGTATTTGAGACATTGATGTTATTTAGTATGGAGGAGTTGCCAACAAAATGATCATATGTGCCGTATTATTTCGTAATGCAGGAGAAAAAAACATTACGAAGAATTGGGAGAATAGAAGAAAATGATACGTAGATATGGGTTTGGATAACCGGAAAGTTGTAGTGGAAATGAATGATAAATGAAGGAAATACAGAAAAAACGGAAGCAGGTTGTTAATCTTATAAGAAAGCTTAAATTAAACTCGGTAATATAATATCACCGCAATGCTAGCACTATATTCTGTTACTGGAGCTTTTCCGCTTTTTTTTTTTGTAAATTTTTTTTATTTATTTATCATGCCGACTTGTTGTTCCTTCCAGCGTCATGTAGAATTCTGAGCATTTTCATCATCCCATTCTCATTTCGTTTTGTACACTGAATTTCCGAATCATAGATATTACGCTTATTCAAGTTCATATGTTGACATGGCAATGGTCCAGTTTAAATTAATTTTGAGGTGTACAGAAGGGCCACTTTTGTAGATGAAATATGTTTGTTAAAGAGGCTATCCATCCGTCCTTTTTTGCAAAAGACTCTTTTTCTCTAAAACATTTGACGATATATGTTGATCATCTGATAACTAAAAATAAACTGCACGATCATCTCTCGTGTTTTTTGCTAAATAAGTTTCTAATACATTGTGCACATGTGCACCTCTCAAAACTCGAGTTAATTGATCGGTATGCCTTTCAAAGAGTCCTTTGGTTTTCTTATTGGAGAAAGGGATTTGAATGTAATGAAGCATGCAGTTCTGCCAAAAATTCTATGATCTTCTCTCTAAAAAAGCTATGCTTTTGTAGCTGCCAATATTGTGACCAAAACAGGTATCAGAGAGATGTGTAACCCTCAACCACCGACCACAATGGTATCATTTATTCTGCCGACAAGGTCGTAGGTAATTGAACTATTAACAAGCACCATATCAAACACCATCCAACACATTTTCTCCATAAATTTTCAATATGTTTAAACTGAAGTTATTATGGGAGCAGTGTTTGCAGACAATTGGCTTTCTAGTCTTTGTTCTTTGTTCAAATGGCAACAAAAAAAGGGTTTTTTTGGAAGGGTTAAAATGAGTTCAAATTAGCGAATGATGGAAGATTTCTGCGTTTTCATTTCTTCTTTTTTTTTTCTGGTAAGAAGAGAGCAAATAAGATTATTTGTCAGTACATATGACAAAATTTTGCTATATATTTGGAACAAGTACTGTATCTAAATCAGGAACATTATCCTTTCATTTTTATTGATATTGTTTTTTTTTGTTAGCGAATTTTTCCACCACTTCGCTGGTTCATAGAGAGTTTTCAATGCTAGTCAATTTATGGAGCCAAAAATTTGGAAAATTGTCTCCAAATAATGAATCACAGAAGCTGTTAAGCAGCTGTCGGTGACTGTTTGCAGTACTCCTCCTGCTCCTGCTTACTCACCTCATCATGTATACCGTTCTCGGTGTCATTCTAATCAACGCCGTGATCGTTATTGTTGTCATTGGGTATGAAGTATCCAAGAGCTGGTCCACTCTGTCCCTCGTTATTTTTCAGTTGTGTATTCCACTAAAATTTCATTTGTCGTATTGCTGAATAACGTATGTTATGTCGAGAAGTACCTATTTTTCTAAGAACTAAAACATCTGGAAATGTGGAATAAAGGCAGTTCAGTTCTTCTTTCCTTTTCTACCTCCTGTACAACCAAAAATCCAATTAAACCACACCTGTGTGCCCCTTTTTATACCTGCAATTTGGTTACCATAAATCCCCACATATCCATCAAGCAGTCCTCCGTTCTGTTTTCCCTTTCTATAGTAAGTAGTTGGCGGCAATAAACAATATTTCTAGTCTTTCGTTGCTCTTCCTTATATTGCTCATTCAAAAATCAGCTAACTAAACTGCCTTTCATTTGAATTCATTTAAATTTCATAAAACTGAATTTCTATTATAGCTCCAGTTTTTTCGTCGTAAAGATTTGTAATCAATCTATAGAGGTGGAAGACGGTTTATTCGTCGTAGTGCCAATACGAAATTCAAAGTACGGCCAGTTGTGGACCCTGGAATCATTTCAGAAAAATCGTCCGACTATTCTGAAAGTGAAACATGTGGACAGATAAACAGATAGCGAATTTTTTTACTTGGCAATTTAAAAGTTGATTAAAGATATTTTGGAGAAAAGCTTTCAAAACTATAATTTGTCCTTTAGATGCTCTCATATGGTTCTTAATCTTCAGTTCGAATCACCCTCGTATGATTGCTGTTATCCCAATGATTGCTTACGTTTGAATCATCTATTTGGAATGATATACCGTAATTATTTTCTTACCAATCGATGGTCGGCCTGTTTGTATATCCATCCATCTGTCCTCAGGGGTTGTTAAGGAATTAGGGGAAATGACGTGAGGGAGAAAGAGAGAGAGAGAGAGAAGAAAAAAAACTTGGTGTTGGATGCCACTGCAGTTGATTAATTGGCCCTTCAAACTTTCTTTAACATAACGGCATTTGAAGATGACAGTATGTCTGTAAGTACCGCACTAGTTTAGGATAATTCCATCTCATTTTGAATACCAGTAGCAGTTAGTGTCAGAGTAACTGGCATCTTAAATTAATTGCTTTAATTCTATTAGATTCAGTTACATTGTCCTAAAAAGCTATTTATTTGGTCAATTCTCGAACATTTTGAAGAGCAGAATTTTCAATAGTTTTGCAATATTTTGCAAGCAATTACGTTCAAAACTTCCCGCCAATTTATTATTTAAATTAGTAATTAACCAATTTTTGTTTAATTCCTAACTTCTTGTCCTCGCTTGTTTTTATTGCTTAATCTCGATAATATCAATTTATTTTGATATTAAACTGATTACAGGAGGCGAAGAGAGAGAAGGATGAGGAAGTATGATTGTTTGAGATCTTTTAAAGAATTATCTTCTTATTCTGTTTATTACTGGCAATATTTTCTTTTGCATTAAATTTAGATTATTTCAGTGCAGTCAAAAAAAAAAATCATAATTTAGCAATTAGTGGAATAAAATTATTGCTTACTGTAAAGGCCTATTAAAAATACCCCTCAGGTGATGAAAAATTGATTGTAGCGTCATGGGAAGTAAAATCATTTTCTCTGGGAACCTGTTATCGTTTCGCCAGTTTTCAATTTACAAGAGTTATGCATCTTTTCATTAAACCTCTAAATCTCTTTTATCGATTTTCCTGAAATTTCACATTACATCAGAATGTTATGATTTTATACACATGTTTTGTAAATTCATTTCTCCCTGATTCAAAGAAAGTTTTGGTTGAAGTTAACTGTGGCACTCACCAAAAAAATAAAAAATCCAAACTACTCTGGACAATCCTTTGTTCGTTAACTTTCATCAAATTGATTCTAAAAAAAAAATGGTTATTCTTCTCTGTTATGCTGCTTCCTTCGTCCATGTCTCTTTCTCTGTGTTTTTTCCTCAGTTCTTCAAAATTATCTTGATATTTTTGTAAGAAATTGATTCTATCAACTGGTACTGGGCAGACACCACTGTTACTCTTTGTGTCACCAATTAAATTTGAGAAAACAATTTTTCAAGAGATAAACCTTTAACAGTGAGAAATTCGATTTTCCTTATCATTGGAAACAAACAAGAAGGGAGAGAGAGGGGAAGAGAAACGAAGAAGGAAAAAGGAATGACAAAGGTAGTTAATTGGACAGAAAAGACCATTGTTTGACGTAAAAGGACGTTTTTAGTTGAAAGAAAAAAGGAAAATTTCATATGATACTAACGAAAACATTTCTTCCTAGGACATACTTTTAACTTTACTTCATATTTTGCAGCGCAAAGTTAACCGTTCACTGATATTAGAATCTACTTTTGCTCATTCTTTTAATCTTTTACTCAAATTTGACAAACATTACCATTAATGGAGCAATTTAGTTGTAAATTTTAGTAAAAAGTTTTGTAAATTTGGTAATTCTGGTTACCAAGATTTTCAACAAAATTGCTGCGTTAGTGGTATTGTTTTTCCTTCTCTGAACCGGCTTTGCAAATTTTATTTAACTTCGTTTCATTACAAGTTAGGAAAGTTTGCATCCAAAAATATTTTTGTTTTAAGGGCCAAGTCTTCTCATAACTCACTGCAGTAGAACACACTGATTGGAACTGTTCTTTTTCCGTGTTTTCAAGGTTTTTAAGCATCTGGGCGGTCTGGAGTCAGTTCCCTCGACACACAGGGATTTCTAGCGATAAGGAATTGTTTTCTCTGTGGAATGTGTTACTTTTTGTTATAATTACAAACAAAAAACAGAAACCGATACTATAGCATGTTTAAAGTTTTTTTTTTTTTTTTTTTTTTTTTTTTTAAACAAGTAAGTTTAGCATGTCGATCCAGGTCTAATATTGTTGAATATTATTTGGACATTGCTTATAAATTACGGCAAACTTTTTTTTAATTCAAAATTGTTAATTTGACAAAAATTCCATTGTGTTAGCGCCAAGTGGCTTCGTAGAATTAGCATTCACTAACTTGTTTTCTTATTTTGATTTATGAACTACTGGAATTTTTTTTGAGATAAAAATCCTTCTGTATTATATTATCACTATGGTAAAGAATGTGATCCCTTGTCAAAGGCTTTTCATCCTTCTGCGCTATAAAAAGTTCGGTTAGAATTATTTCAAAATCAGCAGTAATCCTTTATCGTCATATGTCATAGTGTTTACGTTTCCATAGGATTCCTGAAGATGAATTTTATCACAGTTGACGCAACACAGTCTTGATTGGAGCAAAATTCAGTCCGCGCAATTCTTGTCGCTGTCGTTTTCTACTTTTTGAACGTTTTCTACTCTTTAATTGTATATCCTCAAGATTTGTGCATTAATGTTCAAAAAAGAGAAAAAAGGAGATAACTTTCCATGCTGAGCTCAAACCATTAACCCATTTGTTGATGCACAAAGAACGGTATGTATATCGAATTTAATTAAATTCCACGATGCCACTTGCGTTTTTCGGCATTCTGATTTCTCCCTATTTCCTTCCTTTTCCTCCTTCTTTTTCTTGATTTTCTGTGTCGAAGACTTAAAGAAATAGTCTGAAAAAAGTTTTTCTGTCCGTATTTGAAAGTTTTCTTCAAGTTACAGAAATTTGAAGAAGCAATCATTCCGTTTATTTTAAAGTCTCGAAACCGACAATTTTCTCCTCTCAATGTTCTAAAATGGGTCATCGATCTCGCGATTTAAACACTGCTTTTAAAGATTGAGTAGTACGGAATTTGACACACCGGAAACTCCATGGCCTGGAAAACATTGCCTCTGGGGGCTGGTCTAGCCAGTCTTAATCATTGACATCTGAGTCACTTCATAATTTTATTCAAAATGCATTCATGTCAAGCAGACACGCTGTCTTGAATGATAAAGCAGTCCTGATGATTGTTCTGAAGCCGCCTGATAAAATATACTTTTGAACTTTATGCAGTCTTCGTGGCAAAATTTTTTCTTGTCATCGAAATAGCACATTTTCCGTTGACTTGTGAGAGCTGATAGTAATTCTTTGCCACAAGGGCATTATTCAAAATGAAACGACACTTTCAAAATAAGATGAGCAAGAATGGGCGAGACATACAACTCACAAACATTCTTCCTCAGAGGGAATCTAATCTTTTTACTTTAAATTTTTTAATTTACCAATAAAGTTTTCATTTTTACAATAAAATGGATTAGTCAAAAATTGTAAGGTTGCAAGTTTAATGAATTTGGTGAAGTGATAGTGGATGTGATAACAACAACAATTAGTACCATTAATGCTCGCATCATTGTTTGGGATTGTAATCTATTTTGAAAACTTTAATATGGTACTTCAATTGGCGTTACGATATGATAACATAATAAACTCAGTGATGTCTACCATTGTTAGCACTTAGTGTCGCACTACGATTAGTATTGTGCTGCCATTGTTAGCAAAATACTGCCCTCTTGTTTTCCCGAAATGTTTGGGAAAAATAAATTTTCACACTTTTTGGGAAATTGAACTTCTTAACAACTGGAAAATCAATGTCTTAAAAATAAGGAGGATTTTAAGATTTTCAAATTAGATGCTATTGTCTTGTCAATATCATTACTATCATGAGACAGATATATATATATATGTAATTATATGTATATTTGTACTTACATTTATATTTATATTTATGGTTATATTTGCGTTTATATTTATATTTATATTTATATTTATATTTGTATTTGTATTTACGCTTATATTTATATTTGTATTTATATTTATACTTATATTTATATTCATATTTATATTTATTTATATTTATGTTTATATTTATATTTACATTCACATTTATATTTATATTCATATTTGTATTTATATAGTGTATCCTCAATGACTTGTTTGTTGTCTGTTTCAAACTTGAACACGAATTGATCGGTTTCCTTCCATTACCTTTAGATATATGCGTAAGAGCAGCTCATTACTAATTACCAGCAGCTCATTATAACTTAAGATTGCCAAGAAAGTAACTGAAGGCTCATTTCTAAATCCTCCCAAGCAGGTAGATGGGAGTGAACAGACTTTAAAAAAAATCGATTTGGGATCACATAATTCATCCTTTCTGAGTTTGAAACTTTTAGTCTCGGCTTTTCAAGCGCAAAGTTAGTCTGTAAGACGTTTAATCGTCCAATGGAAATTTTCGGTGTTGTAGCAATCTGATTGTTCGAAATATTTTTATAGCTTTAATTTTGTGGATTAAATGAGAAGAATGCAGATTATACGTTCACGATTGAGGACTGACTGGGAACCAACTCCTAAACCTTATATGTCGTATCTTTAACTGGTTGATGTTTTGTTTATTCAGAAGTCGATTTCAGTAGTTTTAGATCACACATAAAAGCATACGTGAAGACAGAGAAACAGCATCATATACGGAAGCAAATATGCATATACAAATCGAATGCAGCAGCAAATTATTTATTGGCTGAAAAGAACAACAAACTTCAGAAACCACCGCATTCATGAAATCGGATCTATTCATTATACTCATAAAACGATTATTTATTTTCCCTCCTCGTTTAACCAGTAATTTTAATGCTAAAAATTGGATGATTAAATTTGGTTTTTTTCAGGCTCACATTTTTGGTTGGAGTGAAGGAAAAGCACCTTCTGATGCCGTCGGTGGAGTACGGCCGTTTTGGCCTGCAGCCGACGGCCATCAATCAGAATCGCAACAAACATTTTTTAAACGAACCGAAGAAACGTAAACCACGTCAAGAAATCTGTGCACCCCTCAAATGGCTCTGTTTCATTGCCAATTTCTTAGTCTTTGTACGTTTGCATATTTTAGTGATGCTTACTTTATTTACGAACTCTTTGTTGATAGTTTTCGGTCAGAAAACAAATCGGTAAACAAAGCAAAGGAGACAAGATTAAATTCTGAGTAGGAAAGAAAATGAAATAAAACTACTTCAGTTCTTAAATTTGAGTCAAACTACTCCAGTTCCTAAATTTGAGTTTATTCTTCTAAATAATAAAGCGAGAGTGCTAAAACGATGACAACTTTGTTCTGACTTTTTGATTTAGCCCGCCTAAAATTTCAACTATTGATTCAAATCTGAAGGGTTATCCCACCACCCTAAGCTTATGGATGTATTTTTTTAATATTTTATGAATAATTATGATTTCGCAAATAAGGTCATAATTGTGAGTTGCAGCTTATCGGTGTGACATGTTTGGCACTCGGCGTATATTTATGCATCAAGGATCCGCGACCGATAGCCGAATGGGCGGATGTATTTCTTAACCCGGCCGTTGTGCTTACTATAATTGGGCTTGTCATATGCATTGTTTCATTAATGGGATCCCTTGGTGCTCTAAGAGATAATATTGCATTGCTCAAAACGGTTGATCACTTTCATTTCTAAACTTCCTGAAAAGACAAAGCTTTTTTTTCAACTGGTTTGATAAATTGAAAGCTGTGAATAACAACTTGCAAATTATCTTCACATCACTGTATCTGTAATATTTAAACATTTGTGTTATTAAGTTTTCTAAGCAGTTACAACATGCCACAGTGGGAAAACTTTTGTTAAATCTGTAATAATAATAATCTTTTAATATTCATTTCTAAAATTTCAGTTCGCACTCAGTGTTTTTTTCTGTTATATTATTATTGTAATATTCACATTTTTATTATTTATATTATTCTATTCCGATACAACGGAAGGTCTTTCGGCGCACAGTATACTCATTTACTCAGTTAAAAATTATCATACCAATAGAAATTTAGCTGATTTTGTGGATTATATTCAAGAACAGGTAATCTTCTTTGTTTTTCGCCTTTATGCTTCAAACTTTAATAATTATTACAATAATGCAGAAATTCACATTGGTATCTTTATAAAAATTGTTGAAATCGTTTCCGAATTTAATGCTCAAACTAAAATTTTTAATTGCTAAAAACCTGATATTAATCTATTTTTTATATGGATACCAAAAAAGAAAAAAAAAGAGAAGACGAGAGACATTGAGTCTATGTATCGATACTCCCTCTTACATTTCCGTTGTATGATGTTGCAGTTTGAATGCTGTGGTGTGTCGTCAGCTTCACAGGGTTATCGAGACTGGCAGCTTTCTGACCAATTTAATTGCAATTCAACAAATCCTTATCCAGAAAAGTGTGGAGTACCATTCAGCTGCTGCAAACGATCTGTGGTAAATTTCGGATTGTAATACCCTGTTTTTCAAAAATTTTCACGTATTTCCGCATTTAGAGTACTTTTTATGCAAATTATACAAAGTTATTTCCATTTTTCTCAACCGTACAATAAAGGAAATGTAGACTTTTGCTGAATTCTACTGGTTGTTAAGTCATTAGAAGAAGAAAGAGAACTTTTGTATGTTTTTAAGTAATTTAAGAGATTTATGTTTCAATAAATGATTAGTTTTTTTTTTCCTCCTAGTGAAAAAAAAATAGCAGGTGTCAGAAGCAGCCGCTGGTTCTACCAATCCTTTATTGCCAGCGATGCGGTCGCTGCAATGTTGGCTGAATGCGCAAACAAAACGACCTCAAGAGCTGGAAGCTGATTTGCACACACGTGGATGCTTGCAACCGTTGCGGACAGTTTTCGAAAGTCATGCCGTGCATATCGGTGCTGTTGTCGCCATCATCATCATTCCTGTTGTATGTTTTGTTCATAAAAATAATAAATTGTTGGAAAGAGTTCTTTCTGTTTGCTTCTATAAAAGTGTTAATTCGAAAAGGTATATGCTTAAAAAGCAATGAATGTTTGTTTTGAAACATTGCTTTTCTCATTATCTACAAATACTTTCTTCCTACCATCCTATAACTTGCAGTGTATATCAGTATGTTTATCAAATATCTTGGCCAAACAAATCGATCACCAACGATATTTGCTAGAACGTGAAGCTCGTCGCTGCGAGCGACGTCGTAGACGCAATGAAAGGATTCGTTTCCGTGATCCATGCATATCTGCCGTAGAAACTAATGCCAGTGAACCCAAACGCTCCACCAGTGCTCCACGACATAGCACGGGTCTAAATTCAGATGATAGAGCAACTGTCATCGATGTTCGTTTATTGTTTTCATCAGACTTTCAATTTAATTAAAATACTTTGAAACGATTGCTTGACCCGCTGTTTATTTCTTCCTTGACACTTTAAGTGACACTTTACAAATTTCATTAGAATTTGGAGGTTTACTAATATTACTGAAAAGTAGCTTCTTTAAATTTCTTCCCAAAATTCTATACCCACAGTTCGAACTGATTAGTATTGAGAGACCAGGATCGTATAGTAAATGTCCAAAAACTTGGGCTGTAAACGATCATGAAGCTCTCAAAAAAATACATGATATTAGTAACCAAACCATCCTTTTAATTCTTTTATTGGATAAGCTTGCTGGATAAGCTGTTTTCGTATTAATCTTCATGACAGGATATTTTTAGATTTCTTGAAGCTTTTAGGGCATATTTTCTGTTTTAATTCGACGTAATCTAAACCATCCCCTCTCCTGAGGTCTGATAAAGCGAATGTTCAAGTATTTTAAGGAGTTGAGGATTAAATCTGCAAATCATTATAGTTTCAAATTTGAATTTTCAGATTTATTTATTATTCAAAATAATATGAAATAATTACCAATTCCAGCTCGAACTGGAATCTGTGAAAGTGGCGGAGTCATTACGACCTTCTGTAGCTGTGCAGCCAGAAAAAAAACTTCCTGCCTTAAATTTATCGAGTTTTTCGCAGTCAGCGCCACCAGTACCACCTCATGAGCCCCCTCCACTGAATGGTGAAATAAAACGGCATCGAAAGCATTGTCAACCAACAAGTAATTCAGCATCGAAACAAATCGTACAAACGTCGTCAACAATAAATCAGTACCAAAGAATATCGAGCGGTAAATGTTTCTTCACAACACTTACATTGTCGCTTTTCTGAGTCTGCTATCCTGAGTTCAATAATAGGCTAAAATTCTTGTTGAATGTCTTTCACTGCCATTCTAAATGACGATGAAAGGAGGAACTGCCGACGAAAATACTTCCTTTCTATGAATGAACATTTACCGATTCTCCGCTCTTGCCCAACAAGTGCTAACCGAAATTTGCATATAATCTTAGTACATTAAATCAACTCTAAACACTTCAGGATGAATATTATTTAAAACTTACTAGATTACACATAAAAAAGAAGGGGAACATGGAGAAATGAACCCTTAAATCACTGCGTCACTTCTTACCCAAAGCGCTTGGCTTTCGTGACTTCCCGATCTTCTATTCTTCCTAAATATTCAACGTTCTTCCTTCCTTGCAATGCCTAACCTATTTAGTTTATTCGTGCTACAGAACAATTACTTCAGTTCACTGAAGTTCTCTGATCATGAAAACCTCATAGCAAATGTCGAAAGAGAGAAGTTATCTGTTAGAATAATATCGTTCGTTTGACCTGTAGTAAGAAAGTAAATCGTTAAAAGAGTTCATCGTTCGAAAATATGAAACCTATGAACTTACAGCATTTTTCAGGAACATCAATAGCAGCCGCCCAAAGTAAACAGAAGCAACGAAGACGTTCAGTGGCTACCGTTTCACCACCCAAAACAACAGCCGAAAATCGGGCGCAACAATAGGTTTTGGAGTAGTCCGACCTTGTAGGTTACGAGCCTGTTGGCTGATATTTCCATTTTATAAGTACTAAAAGCTAAAATGGTACTATCATCAGAAAACTTGTCAGTTTTGTTGATCCGTTTCAGAGTTATTGGTGATGTTAGTTTGTCATAGAATTTGCGATTCTTGGGGATTTTACGAACCATGTTAGATCCCATCAATATTTTAAATCGAAGGCTTGAATTTCTCTAATTTTAGGTTTAGAAAGAGGTGCTTATTGAACTGATTCCATTGTATTTGTGTTATACCGGCTTTGGCACTGTCATATTGGTGTTAGTTGTTCGATTTTGACATTTCCAAATAAAAATTTCTCAAAAACATGAAAAGACAGGATTCAAATCCTATTTTCCTTTATTGTTTCTAAAATTTCCTTGTTGGAAGATGTCTCCATTTTTTTTCGCCGATATGAAATCTTCATTTTTAAACTTTAATTCAAGAAAATTGTTGAAAACACCTATCCTCTCATACATCCCCTTTAAAAAATTTGTATCTTATCCCATACTATGCTAAAGATATTTCTTCTACTTTCTCTGTTGTACTTTATAGGAGTTGAAGCTCGGATGCTCTTGAAATGCATTTGCAGTACTTGTTTAGATTCATCTCATTTGTTTCAAAGTAATCCTTTTTTTGCTGAATTTAATCTTCCCAACCTGAAAGCAGTGCCTTAAACATGTAAATTTTGTAATAACTTTCTCAAAGATATTTATGGATCTGTATGTAATACATATATGAATGATACAAAATTTCAGATCCGTTTCGGGTAACTATAGCGTGCGCTTTTTTCACTTATTGAACTGAATAATGTTTAGATATTAAATTTGTTCCCGTATAAGTCACTTCATATATACTGCCTTATTGCCTTCTCAATAATTATTGAACGAATGGAATGATTTATATCTTCATTATTTTGTTGATCTAATAAACGATGCTCAGCATGAGTTTGCACTCATACGTTAACCCGGTAAAGGACTCCGGAAATACCAGTTGATCGCCTTATGCAACTTAAGGACTAGAATCGGCTCGAAACACTCAATCTACCGTTGCAGCTGATTTATTTTTGTTATATTTTTGCTCTTGCAAATTCAGTTTCAACTTCTGATTTAATTGAAATGAGACATTTATCCTTAAATTAATGGAACACGAGTGGCATACTTGTCCACAAATGATTAATCACACCGAATAAGGAATGCCGCTTCGTGTCTACTCATCTGCCCTTTTTTACGTACGCCACTTTCGAACGGACGACATTACCAGCAAGCCCAGCAGCTGACAAAAGCGTACCAGGCAGACCTTGCTGGGACTATATTCTTCATATCGCGACTTTGAGTGGAACAATGTTGGTCACGCAATGGTAACGTCATGTCTGGTTCGGGTGTTCCAGTGTCTATGAATCTGGCTTGCCATTTTGGTTTTAACGGTATCTATAGTCTGCAGCGGATACTTGCTGCTCTCATTAGTCATCGTTTGTGTATACTGCTTATCAGTTCCCTTTTGATAATGAATGAATTTCAAGAAGCACATTGACATTAGTGATGTATACATTCCTGGTCTTCATCTTCCAGCTCCACTTCAAGATTCATTTCTCCGAGTTCCATTGTCTTCCGAGCTACTGCTCCGTTTGATACATAACGATCCGGAATGCGGATAATCCATTCCCTTTGGCATGGCTGAAAGTGAAATATAACTCCGCTGTACTTTGATTAATGTACATCTACACTGATCTGCTTACTATATTATCATCAGTTAACGATTTAGAAAGAGCTCATGGCTTAGAGTTGAACTGTTCAATGCCC